ACACACTCACACACTCACACACACACACACACAAGGCCGTGGTTGCATGCACGAGGAACTCAGGGCGCCTGCAGTGCTCCAGTAAGCTTGAAGGCTTTCCTGGCGCCCAGCCCCTCTCAAACAACTGACCGCACCCCAATGTGGAGTGAAGAGCCATGGGCTGAGGAAGAATGGCCTGCAGCTTTTGCAGCTGCTGTTGCTGGGAGGTGGCGCAACTTTGCCACCTACCTGCCTGGCACATCAACGCGGCTTGCAAGCATGTTCGCTGTCGAGTATTTGGCAGGGTTCTCTGCAAGACAAGCCGCGAAAAGGCTAAACCTGAGGCAGCTACACAGCCCCCTGCCATGGCGGCACGTCTGACTGCCGCAAGAGGGCCTCAGTTGAAGCTTTGCAACCTCCAACTCTTGCAGCACCGAACAGCAGGCCACCACATCACCAAGAATCCAGCTGTCTTCGCAAGCGTGCTGGCCAGCTCCATTGCTGTTCAGCAACTGCTCAAGGCTTGTATAACGAAATGCCTGCCTGAATTACGAAGCTTGGGCTCGATGCCAGGGTGAAGCACTAGAAAAGGCCCCAATCAAACGCGAAACGACAGCTACCGCGCGCATAGTGGCAATCATCCGGACGATCTTTGCACATGTACTGAGTGGGCAGAGGATCTTCTTCGGTTGCAAGGCTTGACAGAGGTTCGGAAACTCACTCAGGGATCATCGTCATTTTTGTCAGTTCACCTCGCCCTTGTCGCGAGCTATGACGCTTTTCGTCCAGCTGTTGCTGCAGGCGGGAGAGCCTTCAAGAGCTCCAGGACCACTTAGTCTTGACCTCGTATCCAGCATATCAGGTGTGGTCTAATCGGAAGGATGGAAAGCAAGTGCCCAGCTAGACCATCAGAATATCCTACTGTACCATATCTCTCCGGGCCGCGGCTGGCATGCGTTCAGAGACTTGCGAATCGCGAAGGCGGAGCTCTTTGATGGATGACCTGGCGTGTTCTGAAAAAGTTGAAAGAGAAGGGGTGCCTTGGAGACTGGTAGGGAGCGGGCAGTTGAAGTGACCTTGCAAGCTTCAGACCTTCCTCGTCGCCGAAGCCGTTAGCTGATCTGGGCAGTTCAAATTGAATCGTAGCATGCCCAGTGTACGGGATTAAGTGTCTTGCAGGTCCAGGCTTGTGAGCGCCAGTCCGGGTGTCTCAAGCATCTCGCAAACCGACGTCAGGTCCTGGCCGTGCTGATGACTGTCAGCAGCTGCACAGTACTTGGCCAGCGATCCGGAGGTCCGACAACGCTCCTTCAGTTCGCAGTGAGCCAAGGACAGCTCCTTCACGCCTGTTTTCGACCTCTCACTGAACGGACTACTCTGCTCAGGTGCGTTCTCCGAAGAGCGAACGGATATGAGTACCGCATTGACCAAGGCGTCGATTTGCAGAGGTACAGATGAAGGAGCATGTGGATCGTGTTATGTATGCGAGGGTGAAACAACATAGAAACACCAAAGGCAATCAACGCTTGTAGCCAAAACTCCGCGAGCTACAAACAGGCTTCCTCGTGTGGGTTGGGGTTTAGGGAAGACCGGGATTCCAGAAAATGGTCGCCTTCGCTTGGAAATTAGTCACAGGCGTGGCTGCACAAAATTTCTCAACAAGACCGCTTGAGGAGAAGCTGCTGGAGTGCACGTGCTCGCTGTCAGAAAACATGAATTCCGTTCTATGTTTTTTCTCTTGCTTGTTTGCTACAGGCTTAAAGGGAAGGTATCACCCTCCCGGGGCTCATGTCTCTGGAACTCACTTCACTGGGGACCGGTTATGTCCCCCGAACCGACTGGATCACCCCTGTTCAACGACTTTGTCGGAGACATGAGAAGACAGCCATGTAGAACAAGTTTTAAAGCACAAGAGCCGGTAAAATGGAATGTCCCTTTCACTCACGGGCTCCAGACGGCGTGCGAAGCCCCCCGCACCGACAGGTGCGCCCTTGTTGTGGGGCTTTGTAAGGGGAAACATGAGAAAAGGGAGCTCGGACAAAGATATGGTCCCGCTGTTCGTAAAACGTCTGAGGCACACGGAATGCATTTACAGACACTACCAACGAACTCACGATGGGCGTTCCTCTTTATCTTAAGAGCATCCTCGTGGAAACTAGTGGCCCCCCCTAAAGCTTCGAATGGAATGTTTCTCTTTCTCTTTCTCTCTCTCTTTCTTTCTGCTGGGCTTATGGGTTGGCGTCAAGGTTTAGGGAAAAGGGGTGCGTACCCGGACTCCCACCCCCCCCGGGGACCAGTGCGGCTTGCGTCCTGCGCTTTGGTCGGCATGAGACTGCCGCATGGCACCTTTGAACCAAAACTTGCTTGATTGCTGCTGGCTTCAGGAGAGGAGACCCTTGAGCCCCCCCCCGCCCCACGCGAATGCACGCAGCCAAGTCTCACATCTTCGCAGCGGAGCGAGTCCACTGTCGCTCGTGCGACTCTCTATGTGAGACATGCTGATGTGTCTCCCCCGGTTTGAGGACAAAGTTTGTAAAGCAATTGGCCTCCCCCGTGTAAACAGCATCTCAAACGAAAATTCATGAACAAACTGGTATGAAACTTGTTGCTTGCGAGAGGCCTTTCATGCTGTTGCGGTCCCCTCATTGGAGTGCACAAGGAAGTTTGAAATGTGCATGACCTTATACTACAGAGTGACTCCCCCTATTAAAGCAGCATCAACATCGAGTCCATGATAGCCAAAACTCTGTTCTGTTTTTTCCCTCTTGCTTGCTTGCTGCAAGTTAAAGGTAGGGCCAGCCCTAACCTCCCCCCGAAGGGGACCTGTGCGTCCTGCAACGTCGGACTGAAACTGCCCCCGTTATGTTACACCTTCAACCCGCACCTTTCCGCCCTTCGCCTGATCTCGAACTGCCCGAACCTTGCACAGCACGGCCTTTATCTACCTGCCTGACCTGGGTCCCCGAACCGCGTGCTCCCTCAAGCAGTCAAAGCATTCAGATCAGCAACACACGGCATGTTACTATATGTTGGGGTTCAGTACAGTGGTGAGCTTCCCCGCGTTCGGGCACATCTACAGGGCTGCGTGTGTAAGGAAGCAGGCCCTTGCAGGGAAAGATAACACAAATGTTGCAACACATGTGCTTCCTCGCAGTCCTTCAGCAGGCTGAGGCCCCCGCCACAGAACAACAACTGAGAGACAGCACTGTCATCGACCAGGATCCCGCCCCCATTCCTCAGTCTAGCATTCCGGAACTCCGCTGCCTGGTCCTGGAGTGCTCGGCTGTCTCTGCACCCCACAAGACCCTCGCCTGGTCGAGGGCGTGGATGCCGTCGTTGGCGATCTCAAGATTGGTGGCCGCAAGCCATCGCACCAAGTCGCTGTCTCCCACGCCCCACGTACTCGGCGACGTGTTCCAGCTCCTCCACGAGGAGGGCGCCGTCGATCTTCCGTAGGCATGGCCATGGTCCACGGTCTGCAGGGGGGTCTCGTGCCGAGTCCTAGTCGGTGCGAGCGGAGGGTCTTCATCGCTGTCACGCTGAGTGGTTCGTCGGTTGTCCTTGGCGTCCCATGAGGACTGCGGGGCTTGGGGCATCGGTATTGGCATCGAGGCTGCAGGCGTCTCGCAGAGCAGCAGGTGCATGACAGGCTAGATCATCGCACAGCCCAAAGTACATGTGCGCAGCCCCATCACAGCGGCCGCACAGGAGAGTTCGTGGTGCTGCTTCAGGGCTGAGGCTCGGGCCGAAAAGTACTCGGGTGATCGGCAACCAAACTGCAGTGCACTGCTGGTTCACAGTGTCGGCATAGAGTTGCAAGTCCTGACACAGGGCAGAGCGGCTGTAGTACACAGACTTCTTGGGCAAAGTGCATGTGGGGCAAACTGCATGTAGTCAAAGTGTAAATGGGGGCCTGTCTAAGGTCTGCAGCAGTCGTCTGGGCATGGAAAGACGGTGCAAGCTTGGAGTCGTAGCCGCTGTAGACAAACAAGATTGACAAAGGCCTTGCTAAAGGTTTGGGTCTCGTACTGCAGGGGCGGCTGTTTGGGCACTGAGTCGGGCTGTGGTTGTCTGGGTGCCTTCGCCCACGAAGCAAACGGCGACATGGGCCAAAATTTTTGCGATCTTGGCTGCTTCCGGGAGCCGGAAAAACCAGTTCAGGGTCCAGGGCCTTCATGCGTCCCGTCCTCCGATCTCCGCGGTAGTCGCCGGATTGGGCGAGAAGTTTTGAAGGCTTGGCTGTCTCCCCGAGGACCAGGGCGGATCGTGCCTGTGAACACATGCGGCTTCCAAGAGTTGCAATGTTCCCAGTGCCACCTGCCTCCAATCCGGGCGTGCGACGTTGCGGATGTGTGGACTTGTGGGCTTCCCACCACCCGGCATACGGGCCACATGTCCCCACAGGCCCCAGATCGCCGTGAGGGCCGTCGTTGACCATCGCGGGATCTGATGTTGGTGTAGGACCGGTCTCGCCTCTCGCATGCTTCGCGCGTTCCACGTGGCAAAGTCTTCTCCTGCTGGGCGTCGAACATGACCCAGCATCGCTCTGACTTGTTGGGCTTGCATGTCGGCGCGCCCCACAGTGCCGCTGATTGCACGAGGCAGGGGTGCATTTGCAACCTCCCCTTAATAGGGGTCCGTGCACACAGCACGTCTGGCTCGCCCCTGAAACTCGGCGATCACCGGGGCAACGTCCCCGGCGATGTTGACTGGGGCGCCGAGTACGATGAGCGGCTCCTCCGGGCCGTGAACCACGACCGTCTCCCCGCCGATGAGTAAGTTCGTGCTCTATTCTATTCTATTCTATTCTCCGGATAGGGTGCGAGTCAGGCACCCCGCGCCGTGAGGCGCACCCCTGTTTCGGGGCTTTGTAGGGTCTCTCTCTCTCTCTCTCTTTGCTTTGCTTTGCTAGGGGTCAGAGCCAAGGGGAGTAACCCCCTGACCCGCGCCTAGGCGCATCCCCGTCCATCACGCTCTCTCTCTCTCTCTCTCTCTCTCTCTCTCTTCTTGGCATGCGTTCAAGACTCCCGGCATCTCCCGGACCAATGGCACACCCAAGCTTTGGGGCTCTGTGGGACTGGCAAGGCGTGAAAACACCACAACGTCTCTTCCTCTCCCCGGCTTCAGGGGCAACGTCTCTGTCTGGGCCCGAGGAAGGGGTCTCCCCCCCTCCTCTGCGCGTCAGCGCATCCCTATTTGGAGTGGATAGAACGGAAGCAGGGAGTTTAGGCGTACGGCCCCGCCACCGGAGGAGAGTTAGTCGTAACACAGCACAAAGGACTACGTCATACTAAGGCGGCTCTCAGAAGTATGGTCTAGTCTCCTCCCCTGACTTCGTTCGGCAGTTGCTCTAGATCTCATGATCTTGAAAACGTTGTGCCCCCACAAGAATGGGCTTTTGCTCTCGGAGAACTCGCCTGTTCTTATCTTGTTCTACTCAACCAAAGGAGAGGCGCATCCCTCCCTGCTCACGCATGCGCACTGGTCTTCCAGGTCTGC